CATCACCTTACATTTTGGATAGTTAAACATCATCTGTCACGTATTGGCCCAATACATCAAATGATCTAAATCTACCCGTAAGCCAACAGTTCGACTGCATAGAAATCCACAGGCTTTCTCACCAGTACCTCTTTGTATGGAAAAGCATTAATACTCGTTTACTTTTCCAGCTTCTGGAGATATGTGTGGATATCTCGTAGAAGCAACTCGATTGTGTTGCATACTATTGCCTGCGACTTGTAGACTTCTTTTGCCACTGGCTTTTGGGTTTAAAATTTTTCACTTTGCTTACCGAGGCTGGGATGTACTATTTGTTTAGGGTCTCATTGTGGGTGGTCCTGGCGCCCTGAATTGATCCATATCCCCGTGTTTCCCAATGCCATTAAATGCAATGGATATTACCATTTTGGAAATTCTAAATCTCAGATCTTAAAACATCTTTATGATCTAAATGTATAACTATTTTCCGTTTGAAAGGGCTGTTACATACCCTTCCTAAAATCTGTCATATTTCGGTAGTATCATAATACTTACGAAACGCTAAGCAATGTCAAAGTGTAGTTCTGTCAAATATCGTTCCACCTCGACTTTATATCAGTTGTGGCTAACATGTGACTTGTAAATTTGCATGTTCAAACCTGTTTTAATATAACGTACTCAGCTCTGTAAACTACAACACAGAACTTTTAACAGCATCCACATACTGAGAGTAATTCCAAGACCAAAATTCATATTTGACAGAAGATATAATCTTTCTTAAACAAGTTTCTGACGATTGAAAAGTTTTAGTTTAAATTATATCGGCATACTTTAATTATAACTGCATACAGTTGATGGCTTATTGCCAATTTTTTATTGTTACGTGTATTAAACTAAAAGACGGAGGAAGTGGGATGAAACTTCCAATTATGCAATGTCAATATCTTTAAAAACATAAACATGGTTGTCCTAGATCAAACAACAAACATTAATTGATATATGTTGAGATGAGCTTCATTTCCAATAATGTTTAAATATTTTACCCCCACCCCAAAAAAAAGACAACAAAACAAAAATAAAATCACGATCTTTCAATACAGTACTTAAAATATCAAAAGCTTCATTGGTTACCTACGGTTGGTGGCACCACGTCTCTAGATGATTTCACGCTGGTATTTAATCTTGAATTCTTTTGCGCTGCAGACTCTCTGGATAGGGAAACTACAGTATTGAGATATATACACATGACATTTAAGCACAACTTATACCTTTCTTTCCCAGCCAATAATGATATTCACGCAAAAGTTAATCTATACCTTTTCCCCAAAAACTCTAGTATTGAAGAAAGAGTGTAGTGCTCATACTCTGAAGTATCGTAACGAGCTTGTCATTAAGTGTTTGTAAGTCATTGTGTTCATACTCTGAAGTATCGTAACGAGCTTGTCATTAAGTGTTTGTAAGTCATTGTGTTCATACTCTG